TATATATATATATATATATATATATATATATATATATATACTATATATATATAAGTTATAACAATTAAATTTCTTTAACAATTTAAAGAACTAAATTAACAATTAATAATAATATTAATTAAATCGATAATTAACAATAACATTAACAACACAATTAAAATAAAATTAACAATTAAACATTTAAACTATCACAATTAACACAAATTAATACCAATTAAATTTTTTAACAAATAAACTATCTAAATTAACAAATTACAATAACATTAATTAAATCACAAATTAAGAATAAAAACAACACATGCAATTAACAATAATAATTAATTAAATTAACAAATTAAAAATATTTAAATTATATTAATTAACTAAATAATTAAAAAAAAAACAAAAATAAAATGAGGGGTTAGATGGGGGATGACCTTTCACCAACAGGGAGGAGAGAGGGTTGCGTCGAGTGGAAGGACCTCGCCGGAGTTGTCCGGTCGAAAAAAGACTAATGGAGGAAGAGAAGAGAAAGAAAGAAAGAAAGAAGGAAAAGAGGGAAGAAAGGGGGAGAGATGGAGGGGAGAAAGGGAAGGAGGAAAGAGAGGAGAAGATTGGAAGGAAAATAAGGGAGAGGGGAAGATTTTTGGCTGATTTGGGCAAATTGGAGCCACTCGCCGGAGGAGAAGAAGAGAGTTGGAGAGAGAAAATCAGTTTTGAAAATTTTTTGGTGGGATAGCTTTTAAAGATTAAGGTTTAGTAACTGTCCGTAGGTCGTCACTAAACTCCGTCGCTAATTATTGATTTTCATTTTTAAATTTCAAAAATTAGTCGTTTTCCACCAATGGTATGATTTTAGTGACAATGGATTGTCGCTAATTTGATATTTTGCAATGGTTTTTTTTGGAAAAAACCATTACAAAAATTGGTTTTAAAATATATTTTTTTTATTTTTAATTTTAGCAACGGGTTATAGACCGTCGCTAATTGTGGTATTTTTCAAGGGTTTTTTTGCAAAAAGAACCGTTTTAATTCTTGGTTTTAATTTTATTTTTTTTTCGTTTTGTGATTTTAGCAATGGTATTAGTAACGATTTTGTGGATCATCACTAATTCTAATATTTACAACGGTTTTTTTAGAAAAACCATTGGAAATACGATCCATATTTTTTAAAAAAATTGAAACATGGGAATTTAGCGACGGTTTGGTTAGACGAGTTGCAAAAAATGGTCGTTTTGAGGAATTTTAGTTACGATTTTTTAGACCCTCGCTAAATCACTTAAAACCTTTGCAAATTGTAAAAATTAGCAATGATTTTTTGACCGTCGCTAATTTTTCGTAGCAAACTCATCTTTTTTGTTATAGTGATGCAACCTTTCATGCAACAACACTTATTCGCATCGGACCTATAAGTTATTAGAAATTCTCTCCCTTTTAGTTGGTTTATGGTCATGAGCCAAATATTTCTTATTTAAGAATTTTTTTGGCATTACAATATATATCCACAAGTGCTTCTCCATAATGAACTAAAATGAGCACTTAAAGAAGATTGAAAATATATGTTGGACTTGAAACCTTTTCGATAATTAAATATCTTGAATAAAGAATAAGAGATATTTTTACAGACTCGATTTATTGATTGTCATTTTGATGAAATAAACTTTTCAACATTAGGGGGAGAGAATAAACAAAATAAGTAGTTGAAAATATTGGAAAAAGAGATTATATAGAGTACTCTATCTTATATCATCTCGATCCTCGTATAAAATAATATGAACTAGAAGGTCAAATGATAGTTCACTTACAAGGTATTGCAAATCAACCGCCAAATACATTCTTAGATTTTAAATGAGTAACTAAAATGCATGTCTCCACTAAGAATGCTCCTATTAGAATTGATGTCCTAGAAGGACAATCTATTGATGTTATAGCTAATGAATCAAAAGCACACATGAAGCGTAGAAAACTCGATATGTTCTAAAAGCAAAAACCCTTAAAAGAAAAGAGAAAATAATAAAAATAATAAAAATATTCATAAAACGGTCCAAGATAGTTCTAATAATAACTTCGGAAGAAGTCTAAATGTTTGAGAAAAATCAAGAGACTTTGATAAATTATGTCAATACATGGAGGAAATAGGACCGAAAAGAAACATTTATTAATAAGTTTTTTGCATATAATCTTCCAATTGATATCTTGAATGAAAGTAAGGATCCCGAGCCTAAATTTATTAAAGAATATTGACATAAAGATAATTGGTCTAAATAAAAAGAGTAATCCATGTAGAATTATGTTTTTTTTACAAAAGAGTAGTTTTTTGAACCCATAGCTAAAACACAAGAAGATATTAAGCTAGTGGGATACAAATATGTATTTATACAAAAATGAAATAAGAAAGATGAGATTGTAAGATACAAAGCAAAACTTTTAATACAAGAGTTTTCGCAAAGAACTAACATTGACTATGAGAATATATATTCTCCTATAATGGATGCAATTATATTTTATTATCTCATTAGCCTAGCAAAATATATGAAAAAATTCATATGCATGCATTTAATAAATGTGATAATAATGTATGTGTTCATTTGAAATGATATCTATGTGAAAGTCCTAGAAGGCCTTAATATGTCTAAAGCATGTAATATATATTCTCTAGAAATGAATTCAATTAAATTATAGAGATCTCTTTTAGAATTATTTTAGTATTAGTTTTATTATTTTAGTTTTTAGAAATTCAATTTATGCTATACTTTTTATATTTATTTTTTTTATTCTTCAATATTTAGTTTTTATTACTAACTCCGTGTGCCTATGGTATAATTGCTCCAATAAATAGTTATTGAAAAAAGGTTATAAAAATAATCATATTTATTTATGTATTTCTATAAAGAAATTCGAAAAAGGATTTGTGATAGTTGCTATATATGTTAATGATTTAAATATTGTTGGAATTCTTGAACGTATTCCAAATATAATAAATTATCTAAAACGAGAATTTGATATGAAATACCTTGAAAAAAAAATTTATCTTGACTCGTAATTAGAGTACTTAAAGAATAAGATTTTTATTCATGACTCAATTTATATAAAATTTTTTTTCTATAATGAGTCTATATAAAGCTCATCCATTGATTAGCCCAATGGTAGTTCGTTTACTTGATATCCAAAAAGACTCCTTTTCGACTTCGAGAAGATAACAAATAATTATTTGGTCCCGAAGTACTATATCTTGATACAATTGGTGCATTGATATAACTTGCTAACAATACTCGACTCGGTATAGCATTTTCTAAAAACTTATTAGCAAGACATAAGTTTTGCTCCAATATCAAGACACTCGGAATGGAATTAAGCATTTTCTACATTATCTCCGAGGAGAAATTCATATGATATTTATTTTACTCTAATAAATCAAAATTAGGTTTAATTGGCTATGCATATATAGGTTATTTATCTAATCCATACAAAACTCGATCATAAACGGGTTATATATTTACACTTGGTGGTATAGCTATATCATGACATTGTATGAAGCAAGCTATAGCCGCTAAATATTCAAACCATGCAAAAATACCAATTCATGAGGCAAGTCGAGAATGTGTTTGGCTAAGACCAACGATCCATCATATCCGAGAGATATGCGGTTTATCTATCAACAAAAAGAAGTTCCAATAATATCATATGAAGATAATGTTGCTTGTATAATTCAATTAAAGGAAGAATTCAATCAAGTGACAATCTAGCAGATTTGTCCACTAAGGCATTACCTACCACAACTTTTGAGAAGATGATTCACAAGATTGAAATGCATCGTCTTATAAATCTCAAATAATGTTATCAATATGGGGAGCCCAACATTGAGATTAACGTATACAAGGAATATTATACTTTTTTTTCTTCACTAGGATTTTTTTTCCCATTGGGTTTTTCCTAGTAAGGTTTTAACGAGGCATGTTCCTTATACGATGGACATTCAAGGAGAGTGTTATGAAATAATGAATGTCTATGAATATTTTATATTTTCACTATCCATTATTATTAATGTGATTCAATATGAGAAATTGAAAGGGGATGAAATTTATTCAATTATTTATGCATCTTTTAATATTTAATAGTCCCTTTCAATTCTCTTCTTAATCTTGAAGCTTATAAATAGACTTGATTATTCATTAGTTAATGTACAAGTATTTTGTAGAGAATAAGATATTATTTAAAGTTGTTATCTCTTGTATTCTTTTTATTTCATAGTGAAATCATTTCTCCATTATTTTTCTCTCCAATTCTATTTTTTTTACCATTTCTTTAATAACAAAGGCAAGGTTCTTTCGATGATTTTGACAACGAAAAAAAACCCTTTAAAATTCCTATAAAACCTACCTTATTCCTCACGGAATTATGGTGCTCGAATCCATGTGCCAAGTTTTAAGGAGAAGCTCACGGGAAAGCTGCAAAAAGGGTATAAAAACTCTAGAATGATCAAGTGGATTTACATGCCACAAAGGTGATTACTATGTCACATAGGGATGGTAATCCACTTGGTCCTAATTTTAACTTTTCCGATAATTTGATGAATTTACTAATGCATCCATGGAAGAATTACCGATTGTTAAGGTTCTTGGTAAATCGGTAGGTTATAAGAAGCCAAAAAATGCCACTCGGATATTCCGGACCTCGAGCAACACTACTTTCCGATTCATTTTGATGATCCGGACAATCTTAATAATGTTCGAAAGGATGGTCCTTGGATGATTCAAGGACACTTGAGTGTAATGCAATGGTCTCTTGATTTTAAACCCTCTGCAAGCAACTTTAGTCAAAATACTTGCTTGGATTCTCGCTCCTAGAAATTTCAATCATGTGATGTTATGACAAGCAATTGCAAATGAGATTAACAAACTTGTTAAAGTTGATATCAATATGTCTCTCGTAATAGTTTGCTCGTGTCCGTGTGGAAATTGATTTGACAAAGCCACTCACCGAAATAGTATATGTCCTACTTGCAGTACGAATAAGCATACATGAGGAGTGTCATACCGATAATTAAGAGGGCCAAAGCTATTGATAGAATTGTTGCTCCGATGAATTTGAGTTTGTCGCTAGTTGAGGATGACCAAATTAGGCAAGAGCCTAGAGCTAGGGATCAGCGGGTGAGTTTCAACGGGTTGTTGATGATCTTGTGAAATGTACAAAGCCTAGATTTTTTTTTTATGATGGAAACTCCCATATCTAGGTTGAGGCTAATATAGCATCTAAAGATTTAGGATTTGATTCAATTGAAATAATCAATGTTATCGGCTTATCTCGGTGGATTTAGGCTCTTCGAAATTCAACTTGTTTTGGGGTTCAAGTTTATGCCAAACATTCCCGGTGTCCTTCGAAGGTTACTGAAAGGAATGGCTTTGTGCTTACTTGGGAGTACAAAGATGGGGGTTGGATGCTTGTTAAAGATGTTTGAAGATTATGATGAATACTTTGAAAATAGAGAATAATTAGGATCGAACACTTACCTATAAATAGTTTCACTAGATCAAGACAAGTAATATTAAATCACTATCTTTATTTTCACAATCCAAGTGTCGAGACAATCCTCCTTGTTTTAGTATTCTATCCGTAGAGAGTCTTTTTATTCCGTATGTTTTCTATTCTCTCTTATCTATCTCTCTTATCTCTTCCTTTACGAGAGACATATATATATATATATATATATATAGGAGTTCAAAGGGAAACAATGTTTCCCTTGTAACTATTTTGATAGTTATTATTTTTTTATCACATCGATTTGTCATAGGCGACCTAACCTAAATTCTTTTATTTTTTTGAACATCTCCCACTCACACATGATGAGTTAGACCCGACACGAGGCTCTTTGCAACATCAATAGTAAAACAAGAAGGTATATTTTCATACAAGCAAATGGATCATGTAACCTAGCGAGCATTCTTGCATTTTAGGAGCTTATTACTATGCATCCGTTAGGAATAACATAATAGCTACTACCTTAGATTAATGAACGATATACGAGATATAATACATCGTAAATCTTGCAATACCCCGCACGGCTCCCCGTATGAATATCTCATTATATCAAATCCCTTAATCGGTATTAATCCGATATCATACTCGTATAGCCATAATCATGTCCACATTATTCCAAGCAACACTTCTTTGAACCAACATGATTAGTCGACCTATGAATATACCGAACAAATATTCCTTTCTTACTCAAAATTCTTAATTTAGAGCTTAGCTATTTTTCTAGACAAGTTCTATAGATCAAATCACACATGATCATAAGTAGATAATTAAGATAGCAAACACCAATCCTAGATCTCGAATAGTCGTAAAAAGTGATAAAGGTATTATCTAGAGGATATTATTATTCCTTTAAAAATCTCACATAGTGGAGAATTAGGGATTTATTTTCCCATTATCTTTTGCGATCGTATCCGCATACATGGTATGAATCACATGCTATAGTGTTCCCATTCATCATATCTTATACACACTCGTACGGATCTTAGTTCAATCGTTGGACACAAGTAACTAACCTAAGTTCTCAAGGTGTTTTCTCTCAACGAGTTTTAATCACCGAGATCTCAAATCTAGCTTTCACATGTTATTTGGATCGAGCTTTCCAAATTAATTGTAAAAAAAATATAAATTGATTTACAATCTCATCTTAATTTTATATTAAGGTAAAACTTTCTTAATCTTATCTCTACTCTACTCGCTCTTAATAGCGCTAGAGGAGTATTGTCTCATCTCTACTCATTTTCATTAACGCTAGAGGTGATTGCTCGTGTGAGAGAGCCAATCTAAACCTATGTGACTTTAAAAAAAAAATTGAGCTTTACAAAAGTATCATACATAACATGTAAATATATATCCCATTGCATTCATAATAAAATAGTATAATATACAAGTTCAACTATTCATTATCATGACAAAGTTACAATCTACGCATTCCAAGAGATTTAACAGGTCTAAGATACACATCTCATGATATGGGTTTTGTGAGAGGATTTTCTATCATTTGATGGTAGATATATATTATACTAACACTTCTCTTTTCTCTATGATGTCTCTAACATAATTATACTTAGTGTCAATATGTTTGGTTCTACTATGGTATTGGAGATCCTTGGTATAAGCAATAGTTGCCTAGTTATCACAATAGATAGTAATAGGCCCCAAGCTTTTACTACTAACTTTTAAATCCTCAAGGAATCTCCTTAACCAAACTGCTTCTTACACAACGAGTTGAACATGCTATAAATTCAGCCTTCATAGTAGATAAAGCTATGCAAATCTGTTTCTTGCTTCTCCAAGAGATAGCTTCATTGTTGAGTAAAAAAGCATAGCTAAAAGTGGATTTGCATTCATCAAGGTGTCCTCTCCCATCAGCATTTGAGCAACCCATTCAAATGTAAATTTCTCCCTTGGTAACACGGACAATAATCCATAGTGCCCTTGAGATATATCAAGATCCTTTTAATAGCCTTCCAATGCTCTCGACCAGGATTCGACTAAAATCGACTAACCAAATCAACGGCAAAACATATATCCGGACGAGTACACATCATTGCATACATAAGGCTTCCAACTACACTTGAATATGGTACTTTAAACATCTTCTTTTTATCTTCTAAAGTTTTAAGACACATTTTACTACTTAAAGACTCATTTTTTGACACAAGGGTGTCCACGGACTTATAATTACTTATATGGAAGCGTTCTAAAATTTTCTGGATATAATGTTCTTATGACAGAGCTAGAAGATTTTTTGAACGATCTCTAATGATCTTGACTCCCAAAATGTAGTTTCTTTCACCCATGTCCTTCATGTTAAAATTTATGGATAGCCATGTTTTGATAGACATGATAAAATCTTTATCAGTCCCAGCTATCAAAACATGATTAACATATAGAGATAGAATTATGAACTTCTCTTTGATTCTTTTAATATAAACATAATGATCTTCATCAATCATCTTAAAATCATAAGTCATTATTGCCTTATGAAAACGAAGGTACTATTGTCCGGATGCTTGTTTCGGACCATAGATAGATCTTTGGAGCTTGCAAACTTTATGCTCTTGGCCTTCAATAATGAAACCTATAGGCTATTCCATCCCTCTTTTTAGGTAAAACCTTTAACCACAAGACGGGCTTTATATCTTTCAATTGATCTATCTACCTTTTGTTTTATTTTGAGAATCCATTTATTCCCAATGGCTTTACGACTCGGTGAAAGATCGACCAAAATTCACACTTAGTTTAGTTTCATGGATTCCATTTCCTCTTCTATTGCAACTTTTCATTTCTCTTTAGCATGATATGTTAGTGCCTCTTGCACCGTTCTAGGTTCTTCATCATCTTGTGGAGTTACAATATAGGCTTCATTCTTAATTTCAAATCATTTTCAAGGAATTTACGATCGATTGCTCCTACATAAATAAGGATCTTTACTAACAATCGAAATTGGATCATCCTCATTCCTCCCACTCGATTGAGATAGTGGTGTTGTGCTTTCAAAACTTCCACTAGGAAAAATAAAGTCTTGTATATCTAGTTGAGTGTCGACTTCTAATCGACCTTTAGACATATCATCGTCTTCTTTTATCTCAAAAAAATGAAGATCATTTTTATCTATCTCATTCTTTTTAGGGAAAAGATCTTCTAAAAAGTGGCATCTCGAGATTCTATTTCAATGGTTCATCCATCGAAATCCTCACCAATGAAAACATATCCCTTTGAGTATTCGAGTATCTTATAAAGATATATTTCTTTCCTTTGGGCCCTAATTTTCCATACTTATAAGAATTGTTATGAATATATGCGATAGATCCCCATGGGCGTAAATGATGCAAATTAGGTTTACAATCCGTCCATAACTCATAGGGTGTAGAGGCTATTAATTTTGAAGGCACACGATTAAGTACATAGACCACGATCATTAGTGCATCTCCCTAAAACTAAATTAGGAGATTTGCATGTGCCATTATAGATCTAACCATGTCTAATAATATACGATTCCTACGCTCTCGCTATACCATTTTGTTATGGTGTTCTAGGAATCGCAAGTTGTTTAGTTATTCCTTTTCTCATTACAAAGATCCATAAATTGATCCGATAGATACTCACAACCTCTATTGCTCCTCAAAGTTTTAATTCTTTTGTCTAATTGATTCTCAACCTCGTTCATGTATTTAATGAAGCAATCTATTGCTTCGATTTCCGGGAGATCAAAAAGACATGACCAAATCGAGTGAAGTCATCTATAAAAGTAATGAAATAGGATGCCTCATGTCCGGCTTTAACATTCATAGGACCATAAATGTCCAACTATATTAATTGTAAAGGAAATGCCGCCCTCTTGGCTTGACCAAATGGTTTTCTAGTTACTTTTCCTTGTAGACAATATTCATAAGTGGGTAAGTCAATTCTTATGATAGATCTTAAAAGACCATCTTGAGCCAATCTTTTCATTCTATCTTACCTTATATACCCTAATCTAGCATGAAATAGATTAATATCTATATTATCACTCGCTAGAGCTAGTTAGCATAGAAAAGCATACATTATTATTCATATTATAATATTTGGTATTCAATATTATAAAATCATCCATGATATAACCAGATCCTAAATAAACATAATCAGTAAATATGTCTAAAATATTACCATAAAAGTGCAAATCATATCCTAGTCTCAATAGAACAACTACGGAGACCAAATTTCGTCGAATCTCTAGAACATAAAGGACATCATTTAGATGCATGGTCTTTCCTTTTTGAAAATTCAACTTGCACATACCAAGTCCAAGCACTTCAACCCTCATGTTATTACCCACATATATCCATCGTGTCCCACTTGGAATCCGATGAAAATCCACAAATGCATCTCTATCTCTAGCTACATGGTGGGTGGCTCTTGAATCTATAGTCCACAAAGGATGGGATTCGGTAAGCATTATAGTACTAGAAACATAAGCATTAGTAGAATAGTTGTTTAAAGACAATACCTCCTTTGGCCCATTACACTCACGAGCGAAATGTCCCAACTTGCCACAGCTTGTAGCAGGTCATTTTGGTCTTATCTTTCTTTTCATTGTACTTTCCTCTCTTGTGCTTAAAAAACTTGGTTCTGTTCTTTAGTCCCCGCCCAGTCTCTTTCTCTTTCTTATTGCCACGCCACTTACACTCAAAACTTGAAGTTTTCTTAAAGCTAGACTCAACCACATATGCTAGTGCATTTGGTTTTGCTACCTCAAGTGCGCTTATCTTCTAGCTCAATATGGTGAGCAACGTCAGCAAATGTCCTAACATTCTCATTTTAAGTCATGTTCTCTTTCATATGTTCCCGACTATCGTGAAGAGATCGGACAATAGCTCTGTACTTGTTGTTCATCCGCAAGACATACCCAACTTGCTTCGCTTCCGTAATCATGTTCGACATGTCCCTCGGGTGTTGCTTCATAGATTTGTTTAGAACCTACTTATAAGTGTCGAACTTGATTATCAACTCGCCTTAGTTTCGGAGATAGTGGTCCCTCCAAACTCCTTCCTTAATACTACCCGGATGGCATAAGGAGTTGGATAATTTTGGTACTTGAAAACTAGATCATCTTTCATAGAACTAATTAGGATTCCCTTTGGAGTGGAATCGCCTTCTTCCGAGCTCGATATGCTGCAATATCTCGATGATACTAGGCAATGTTGTTCCCATCATCAAACCGAGGCTCGCTCATCTCATGATTAATAGCCCCTAAAGCCTCTTGCTCTTCTAGGCCATATTGTATCTTAACATGCCATATGTTATAGTTGTCCCCATCAAGCTTTTCACCCTTATTCAAGTCAACAATGACGTTCTTTGTTGCCATTCGATAATCAATAACTATAAAGAGATATTACATGGAATATTAATATTTATGTATGTATGTTTCACTAATTTCTTAAATTAACTATTAAAATCTAACATAAGATATAGAATCGACAATTCACTATGTTGCCTATCATCATCCATACTCAAATTTTTTATTCTAATAACTTAATTTAAAAAAAAAAAATTACACCATTTTAATTTATCTCATAATATCCACTAAACATTTATGAAGCAAAAACAAATGAGAAAATACAAGTGCTTCATAAGTAGCATATTTTCATATACATAAATTCAAAATGAACATAAAAAAATATAAACACACAATTCAAACTATTATACATAGATAGTTCATGCGATTAAACAAAAAAAAAATCAATCATCAAGATGATTATTGTTCTTACGGATTTCTTAGAACAATATTAATTTACCAACAAAATTGAGTCGACACGGCACATCTGTTAAGTTGGTGTGAGGTGACAGATTAAGCATTAGTTCCAAAACAGCGTGAGTTCGAATCCCACTCAACAATCTATTTTTTAAAAAATTTATTTATCCGTTTTATGGTCATATATGTTCTTACCCACCAAATGTCTCAATAGGTTCGTGTCCCACTTTTGACAATTTAAATAGACTTTTTGGGTTTGTGAATGACAATTAACAAAGAACTATCTTGGGCCACGTATCATCCATACATGTCTTATTGACATGTAATATATATATATATATATATATCATGGATTTAGATAAATATCATGTAGATAACAACAAATATCAAAACATTGATATATTAACAACAAATATCATAACACCTGGATAATTCAAAAAGAATTATTATGCAATAACAAATATCAAAACACCGACATATAAATAACATTTTATGGATAATCATGAAAACTATTAAAATAAGCTCGATACCAATGAAGATTATGATGAATACTTAAAAAATAGAAAATAATTAGGATCGAATACTTACCCGTAAATAGTTTCACTAGATCAAGCGATAATATTAAATCATTGTCTTTATTTTCACAATTCGAGTGCCAAGACAATCCTCCTTATTTTAGTATTCTATCCGTAAAGAGTCTTTTTATTACGTCCGTTTTCTATTATTTCTTATCCGTCTCTCTTATCTCTCCCTTTGCAGAGACGTGTGTGTATATATATATATATGAGGGAAACAACATTTCTCTTGTAACTGTTTTGACGAGTTATTATTTTCTTATCAAGTCGACCCATCATGGGCGACCCGACCCAAATTCTTTTATTTTTTCTAACAATGTTCCTTAGGGTTATGTATCATTCTCTTAATGTGATCATTTTGTTCTTGATTGCGACTAATTGTTCTCCTCATCAAGGCTTAAAGAAAATTTAGCCAGCTCATAGGCTACTCGATTACAGTTTCTACCAATATGCTTGAAAGAGAAAGACTCTAAAGAAGCCATACTAACTATATCCATTACTGTCGATCTCAAGCAAGAAAGCTCACAGCTCGTGGTTTGATATTGTGTTTAACTCTCAAACTGTCATCCTCTAAATCCACTGCCCTTAGACCCATGTCCCTAGCCAACTGGAGTCCATACAATTAAGGCTTGAGCTTCAGCTACGTCCACCCACCTGACATAGAAGCCTCTTTTGAAGCAGCAAGAATGTTGAGTCCTTGATGATCTCTGATTTTAAACTCCAGAACCATTCTTCACGGCTAAAGATAGCAGCATCACTGTTAATTTTATATCTATTCTCTGCAGGAGGCTGCCATGACTGAACTACATACGAGGAACTAGCATGGGATGGTTTAAAGATTCTCTCTGGTAATCTGTTAGCAAATTCTTTGCCCTGCCTATGATTTTATGCACCCACCGCCCAACTTGATATACCTATAACCTTCTGGACAAATAATTTGAACCTTTGATTACTGACATTAACAAAGACTAGATACAAAAGAAAGAATGAAACAAAATAAACAGCACGGGAATTCAAGTTATGTTTCTATACAAGGCCGTTTACAGGGAATGTGCTAAAGGCCGGCTTATCTTTGTTACTATCATATCCACTGCTGCCCGTACTACTTTTTCTCCTCGGTTTTGCCTCTCCCAGCATTGTTATCGAATCTCTCATTGATGGCCTGTCCATAGGAGTTTGGCAGTAAAAAGAAGTGCAATTCTAAAAACCAATAGCATCTCTTCTTGACCATGCTTGCAGTTTCCTACATTCTGGTCTAGTGTTTCTTTTAACAATCCGTTGTCTTTATTCTTTCTTTGAATCCATTCAACAATGTCGACAGATTCCCTGAACTCAGGATCTAACGGTAGCTTTACTGTAAGAAGTTCTAATAAAACTAATCAATAGCTGTACATGCCAATCTTTTCATCAACCTTCAAGGTGTGATTTTCTGCAAAAAGGATCATACGAGAACATCGTTATTTACATAGAAAACATATCAGAGCACAAAAGGACTGTTTAAATGATCTGCATTTGTATCAGAAACCATATGCAGCTGTCTTCTATAGAGTGAATTATAAATTAGTCCCAATAGCTTTGCAAAAATGAATTGAATAGTCCTTTTAGTTTTAAAAAACTAATTAATTAGTCTCTTGACTAGTTTTGATTATGTTTAATTTAATATTATTTTGTTCCAACAAATATCTTCTTTTCTTAGAGTAAATGATAAATTAGTCCCTCTAGTTTAGTCCTCCTTGTTTCAAAAACTAATTATTTAGTCTTTATAATTTGAAATTTTCCTGTAACTTGATCTTTTTTGTTTTTTTCTCAATTTATTTTGATTTGCTTGTTTTAAGAAATACAAAAAAAGAAGAAAAAATATATAAGGATTGATGAGAAAAGGTGACATATTTTCAAATAAAATAATATTAAATTAAATGTGGTCAACACTATTCAAGAGACTAAATAATTAGTTTTTGAAACAAGAGGAACTAATTAATTTGTTTCTCAAAAACAAACTAACTAATATATATTTGAACTCTCTTTTCTCATCAATATTTTCTTCCTGTTTTTTTTTTTTTTACTCGTTTTTTCCTTTTTTCAATTTATTAAACAAAAAAGAACCAAAATAATTGAAAAAAAATTGTAAGAGATTAAAATAGATTTAAAAATATAAGGGCTAATTAATTAGTTATTGAAACTCAAGGGACTAATTTATAATTAACAGACTTTACAGTTTTATAGCAATTATTATTATTATTATTTTATTTTTTATTATTATTATTTTTTTTTGTAATCAATATTTTCTTCTGATGAATTCTATAGCCAACTACTACTAGCAGCATTTAACAGTCATTCATTTCCTAGGTACTTCTAGGATCTGGTAGTTGAAATTAAGAGCTTAAATTGATAATTTATAGTTAACATAGTACTCAATTTCTGTTACAAAAAGAGAGCTCATCTTGAGATAAGACAGTAACTTTAAACTTACCAGGGGGATGTATTCATATGATCCTGCCACCATGGAAACTGTCTTGTTCTTCCTCAACATCATCCTTGCCAACCCAAAATCAGCAACCCTTGCCTCAAGATTTGTATCAAGCAGAACGTTATTGGACTGATGTCTCAATGTATAACTGGTGGGTGACAGTCATGGTGAAGATAAGCAAGTCCTTCTCTGAGGCTCCCATTATGCACATATTCATATGCTACCATCATGTCGGAATCATTATGAAGAAAGCTTAACTTAACAATATGTTGATGCCTAAGATTCCCCAAGAGATTCACCTCTCCAACAAAATTGTTGCTGCTTCCTGTTTCGATGTCTGTCCCTGATCTCTGTAGCTTCTTAACTGCAACAACCGTGTCTAACTGTGGCATCTCAACTTTGTAAATACCCCCAGTTGCTCCCATACTAATCACGTTTGATTCCTTTATGCCAGCTAGAATGTCAGAACTAGTGAAACCAAGCCTCTGGAGTGCCATCAATTTTCATGGCAACTCTCCACTACCCATTTCGTAACTTTTTTCAAAGCAGCTTTCATTCGAATAGCATTATTAGAATGGATGTGTTTTCAACATAAACATTAATTTTAGTCCGTTGCATATGAAACTTTACAACCGTTTTGCTAATATGCTCAAAAAGTTCACAAAATAACCAAGTATATAACTTCCATTATAGGGCAGGGAACATGATTAGCTCAAAAAGCTCACAAAATAACCAAGTATATAACTTCCATTAGAGGGCAGGGAACATCATAATCATTTATACATGTACACTCCTCATAATTGCAAAATGTACTTGAAATTTGATGGAAAATCAAATTTCAACTTACAAGCAGGACACTAGCAACCAAACCCAATCATCGGAATATTTTTTATATGATTTAGCATCCAGACCAAAAAAAAAAAAAAAAAAATTCAAAAATGAAAAGCATAACAAGCTTTGATCAATGGCTAGTGAGTAGACAAGAAAATACCTTAAGAATTAGCATCCTACAGGAGAAAGTGCCTTCTATTTTTCCAGTGTTCCATTCATCCATGGCAAATCCACATTAAGCAAAGAAGGCATGCCCATCGGTGCATCTGACGAGCTAGAAAATTTTCCCTTCTTACGCCAAAGCCAAATTTTGGATACAGAGAAGCTCTCACCCTTGGTCAAGCTACTAATCTTGTTTTCCTCCAAATCTCTATCAACATTCTGTTCTGTCCCTCTGGCAGGCTTGGTATCGCAACTCTGCCGCTCATTGCTTAAGGCAACCCTAAGATCTGTATCAACAACCACATACTGATACGAACCCATTGAAAAACATCTTCTGGCATCTAAATTACTGCTACTAGTTTCTCCACCTGCCTCCTCTGCCACACCATTTAGCTTCCTGAATTTACCGAGTCTCACAGGTAAAACCCCTTTTCAACAACTATTTCTTCAATTTCACCGCTCTTTTGACTAGGAATGTACCTATTATCTCCATTACCAGGACACACGTCATCCTCTCTAAAGTCATCAAAATCAAACATAGGGTTTTCCATTGAAAACCCAGCCGGAGAGAAAAGGGTTCCCCTGCAAAGAGGACAAGTCGAGTTGGACAGCAGCCAAGTGTCAATACAGTTGATGTGGAAAGCATGGCTGCACATAGGAAGCAATCTCAGCTTGTCTTTCTCTGAAAATTCACATAGACAAACAGCACAATCAAATGGCTCTTTTAGACCCACTATCTCTTTGTACTGAAAAACAGGAAGAGCATCTATAAAACCTTGATCCAGACCAGAATCATGGAGATGAAACAGCTGCTGCAACTGTCTTTGAAGAGCATCTGAGCCAGATATTTCAGGGTTTCTATTAGATTGAGAGGAAGCTGAAGAAGTTGGGTGTTTTATAAGGAATCTAACAAGCAAATGGAGCAAACCAGAGATGAAAAATAGTACAGCAAGTATCACTATAACGAAAAGAATAGCAGGGCTAATTCTAGAACCAGAAGATGAAGGATTTGAATCTTTATGGAAAGATGCAGTATTAGTAGTATATGGAGAAGAGATTGAGGAAGGAGGAAGAGGAGGTGTGTAATCGTTTCGAACCCATGACGACATCTTCAAATGAGTATGTTCTTCCATCAACCATCTATTCTTTTTGCTCCCACAGATCATATCCTCTTTTAGTTAATGAATTCAAACCCAACTCATCTTTCAGATCAAAGCTTGTTCCTTTCTCCTCGCTTTGCTCAAATATTTTTTTTTCTTTAGATGATAATTGTAGCAGGTAGTAGTTGGGTGCTAGAAGTAACATTATTTAAAAAAAAAAAAAAAAAAACCTCTTCTTTGTAAGTATCATACATCATCAAGCAAAACCCAAGTACGAGAAGGAACAAAGGTTGAAAACTTACTAAGCTTGATTCTTTCTCGGTCTCAGCAGCCAGATAGCTAAAACCTTAAACAGTATAACACAAACCCTAAGGGTGCCATCTGCTTCTCTCTCCCTCTTTCTCAAGAATCACTCACTGACCACATCAAAAAATAAAAACAAAAAAAAGAACAAAAGGAAAGTAAAGACAGAACAGCGAAGACGGAGGTGGCAGTGGCACTAATTTACAAAGTGCGAGGTAAAGGATGCCAAAAAGAAGAACTGGTTGTGGCCCCCACGTACCTTTCAAGGCGCGTGAGATCCTGGTTGGTCAACCAGATGCGACAATTAAAGCCACGACGGAGGTGGCAGGGCTTTTTAGTGGGCCTCCAGCCTTGGGTTTTCAAAGTCTTCGCTTGTGGACTGTGTAGAAATGGTTCTTGGATATAGGATAGACTTTGTATTTTGCATAGCTTGTTATCCATGAGAAATCATTAACAATAATATTAATTTTTTTTTCATTGTATAATTTATGTAGAATAAATAAAATATTTAAAATTATTTAATTTATTGTTTGAAATTCCATCCAGTTTGTCATAACTCAAAATTTAGATTATAATTATTTTTTAATATTATTTTTTTTGTTGATTTTATTCCTTTATTTATATTTTATTTTATCTTATTTTTCATATTTATTTTAGTCAATTTTATGAGTTTTAAGTTTTATCTTTTATTTTTGTAAAATAAAAAATAAAAAAGGAAAATAAAAAATAATTACATAACCAATTTATATATATATATATATATATATATATATATATATATATATATATATATATATATATATATATAAAGAGAGAGAGAGAAAATGAAAATACAAAACAAAACAAAATGAAAATGAAAATACAAAACAAAAAAGAAACTTTTGCATGAAATAATTAATTAGGGGCATAATTGAAGAAAATAAGGACTCGAAATTGAAAATAACTAGATTTGAAAATGAAACTCAATCGGGGATGAAATTGAATGACGTAGGAGTGCAAATGAATGAAATCAGATTTGAATTTGAAAGCCGATAGGGATACAATTGAATTGAAAATAAGAGTGTAATTGTAAGAAATTAAAACACTCGGGGATCAAATTGAAATTGAGGAGCGAATTACATGACCAAAATGGTCGACGACACCGTAATTCACGTCGACTCAAAATCAATCCTCAAGTACTATTCATCATCTTCCTTAAAGATAAAATTGCCTAATTCCTTTGTTGTGATTCTTAGATAGCAATTGTACTAGCAAAAACTTGTGCTTCACACTCGCATAACCTATATTCACCTCTCGCACAACCCCGCACACACGTACTAAGAATTGGTTTTTCAATTTCTTTTTTTTTTTGTTCATAAACGATAAATCAAGGACAATCGTGCTTTGGTTTGATTTTTAGTGGGAAAGGGTTAAGATTGATTAGAAATGATTCTAAAGTAAAGAATGATTCAAATTTGGCTATTAATTGAGCCACACTATGTTTGAAAAAAAGGGGACTAAAGAAAGGATTTGGCTAGCTTTGAGTTTTCCGAGTTTCAAAAACAAGAATAATTTTGGGCTTGAGGGGAAGAATCCATGGATCATCGAGGATAGAATTTAGGCCACCAAACACTTTACTTTGGCAATCCAAACCCATCTAAAACACAAAAAGAAAAAAAGGCAACAAAAAGGGAAGGTTTCATCCGAAATATATAGGTTTATAGAGAGGTTTTTCTAGGCGTTTTGAAGAAAGGATTTACGGGCTTTAAGTCCCTTTTTAGGTACGGGTAAGCAAACAGTTTGGTTAACCAAAAATCGAATAGAACCTAATCAAATTATATATTTTGATTTGGTTTTAAACTTAAATTTGTAAATTTAAAACCAAACTAAAATACCAAAATTATGTTGTTTCGATTCGATTTTTGAAAAAAAAAATCAATTTCAATCAAAAACCAAAATTAACAATAAAAAAAATCCTAAATCCAAATCTAAATCCCTAACTTCACTCCCACGACTTATTCCCTAGTTATTTTCTTCTACTCCATGAATAATGCCAATTCCAATATTATCATAAAAACAAGAACCGATCACTTAAAGAAATCTCCCACATAGACCCTTAATATCTTCTACCCCTTAGCTGGAAGGGTAAAAGATAAGCTTTTCATCGATTCTTTCAATGAAAGAGTTCCATTCTTCGAAGCTTGAATTAATTGTCACTTGTCTAATTCCTTCGGACATTATAAATTTGAGTCATTGAACCATTTACTTCCATGCCACCCTTTACCTAGGAAGACTTGAACACACTTCTAATAGCAATTCAAGTTAACGAGTTTACTTATGGTGGAATGGCAATAGCCAATACTTGGTTAACACAAGATCATGGATAGAGCAACAAGCGAGCTTTCTTCATAACTTGGACTTCTATATCTCGAGGAGATTACAATTCGTTAAATAACCCGATTGCAAACAAGCATCACTCTTTTCTCCACCAAGAAATTCGGTTCCACAAAACCATTTATCATTAATGGAAAAATTGTGAGGAAAACTTGTAGTTCACATAAGGAAATTACATTATAAGAAGATTTGTGTTTAATGGCAAAGCAATAGTCATGTTAAAGGATGTTACCAAAGTCGGCAACCCTAATGCTAACCCAACAAGAGTTCAAGCATTGACATGTTTCGTTTTGAAACATTGTATGGCTACTTCGAGGGCAATATCAAGTTCAACAAAACCATCCATTTTAGTTGAAGCAGTTGATCTCCGATCATGAATAATATTTTGGTTAAATCCAAAATTTTATGAAACCCATCCGAAATAATTCGATTTCAAATCGAATTTACCTAATTTATTTTGGTTCAATTTTGATTTTAATTTTTTCTTAATTCGGTTAATTGAAAATTGAACCGAATTGTACAAAACTACTATTTAACCATTTGCTCACCCCTATTTCTAGGTGATTCAAACTCATCCTCAACTTACACATGGTTCTCAAGTTCACACCAAACCTCTCAAAACACTCAATTTGAGAATTTTTTACCAAGCAATTTCTCCAAGCATTCGGAAAATTTCAAGTAACTATACAAATACCCATTTTTGTTCTTCCTTTATTTCTAAGTTAGTTTTTTAGATTCTTCAAGGACATCCCAAGCACAGGAACTCGAGGTTGCAAAGTAATACTAGCTTGATAATCCTAAGTCTAGTTCATAATGAGCTAAAGGAAAATAAAAGCTAAAAAAGAGAAAGAAGAAGAGAGAGAAAAAGAGAAAAAAATAGGGAAAGAAAAGGAAGGAAGGAGAGAAAGGGGTTTGGCGTGAAGAGGAGAGGAAGGAAACTAGGTTGGGTCTAGTCTAACCTAGGAGCAAACAAAAAGAAAGTGGGCTAGGTCTAGCACAACTCAAAAAGAAAAGGAAAGGAATAAGGTCGGGTCCAGCCTAGGCTAAGAGACCGAGAAAAGTGGTCTACTCGGGTTTCTACTCGGTTTGGGCCTACCAATGGGCTTAGCCTAATAAGTCTAAAGCCCACTAGACCCAAATGCCCAATAACCTTCAATTTTCTTTAGGATTTATTTCAGCTAGTTTCCCAAGTCAATTAAACCCGAAATTTTTATACATGCTTCAAGTTTTCATTTCTAGTTTATATTTATTATATATATATATAATTTTCAAAGCTCTTTTCCTTATTATTTTGAATTTATTTAATTTTATGTGTAGTTGTTAATTATTTAAATTATTTAAATTTTAGTTTAGCCTATTGTTTAATGTTATTTAAATCTAAAATTTTTAGTGAATGATTATATGTTTGTATATAAGTTGTGTTTTACATATTTTAATTTTGTGAATCAATTTCCTATTTATTTAGCATTAATTGTTATTTAGTACTTGTTAGTTTAATTAGGTAATTAATAGGTGGAAGAATCATCAAGTCTTCTAATTTTTAGGAAATAATGACAATTCACCACCAACCTTAAAAAATGAAAATGAAAAGAAACGACAAAAAATGATTAAAAAAACATAAAAAGAAAAGAAAAGGAACAAAAATTAGAGAAATGTTAAGTGAAAATTAACAAGTCTCTTGTCTAATAGGGATTGTTTTTAATTTAAATCAATCACATTTTAGTAATTAGATCAATCTCCAACATATCGGTTATGTCAAGAATTAAATTAGATTCGATATTAAATTGATGAAACGCCTAGTGACGGTGTCTAACAATCAATTCAATATGATGCCACAAACAAAATAAAAAATTAATATGGCTTATATAATAAATTTGAAAGTTGAATTACAAATCATTTGGAAAAAAATAAAAAATTTTAAGAGGCGAACTTTTAGAATTCAACCGGACATAGTATCTTTCTTTAGAAAAAGTGTTTTTAGGTGATTGATATCTTTCTAAATACATAACCAACTCCTTATCCTAAAATCTCCGAACCAATATCATTTTTAGGTTTTCAAGTTTCTTTAATACAAGGTGGCAACTCCAAAAATGTGATTTAACTCACATTCTCGGTAAATAATCAAACAAATAATTTTTAATTAGAAAATTTTGAGAATTTCCTAAATTTTGAGTGGTGACAGAATGATGACTCCATTAGAGATTTAGAGTTAGGTCATAAGTTCGAGTCCTCACAATTTAACTCATTTATTTATTTATTTCCATTTATTCTTCTAAATCATTTATTTTCAAGTCATTTATTTTTTTCATTTAATTCTTAAAAATTTATTTTATGTAATTTATTATTTTTTAATATTT